TGAACAATATTGTTGTTTTCAATTAGATCTCATCAGGCTTAACTCTAATATATATATAAGTTTACAAATAAAAATTCAAATATAAACCAATCATGGTGTTTTGTCTATAGGATAATACGATGGTGAATATAAATTGTGCAGTTAGTCATAATAGTGGTAATGATAATATTAATAATAGTAATAATAATAGTCTTATCAATAATAAGGATGAAAAAATGAGGCAATCTGTGATAACACGAATAATGAAAAACAGTATGATTAAACAAACAATTGTTCAGGTGGAAGTAGTCGATAAAGGCTAGTAAAAACAAATGAACCGATTACGTAATGTTAGATTGTAGGGGAAGGAAATGAAACACGTTTATAATGAATATAAGATAAGATTAAGGGATGATAAGAAAGGGGTTGGAAATATAAATAAAGGGTGGTGTAGAAGTCTTTCGTTGGTTATGTCTTATTAGGCCACGGGAGGGATAATGGCTGCACGAACTTCTTTTGAATGCATAGTTTAGGTTTAATAGTTCGAATGCCTATCGCCTCAGCTGTGTGCAGTAGACGAATACGAAGTCTATTAGAAAGATTCGGAGGGATACGATGAATTACTTTGAAGGCTTTCGTTTTATCGACTACATGACCACTATCAATTAGATGTGACAGAATTGAGCTACGGATTGTTTTTGTCTGTCCTTTGCCAAACCACGATGGGAGATGTTCACTAACACGTTGGCTAAGCTGTCTAGTAGTACGCCCAATATAACTGTCACCGCAGGTGCAGTTGAATTGATAAATACACATAGATGTGGCAAAACTATCAAGCTTATCCTTCGTTTGCGTCCCAATCATTCGTCGGCTAGAGAATGACAAACATAGGTGTGCTGCGTAAAATGTTCTACGTATGCTCCTTGAAAGTCTTTGGAATAGAATCTCACTAGATAAGTCCCCATTAAATTGTAACTTAATAAATAGAGGTTTCTTATGTGCAGTCAGAGTCACAGGTTTCTTCTCTGATGGTTTCATATGTTTCTTTATGAAACTACTCGGATAACCCATCTCCGTCAAGGAATCGTGAATATATTCAAATTCCTTTTGTAAGAGGTCCTCCGTACATATCTTCCTTGCTCTGCTCGCGAGACATTTTACAAGATTCCTTTTATATTTAATGGGCACGTAACTAAGGAAGTGTGTGTACTGCCCTGTGAATGTGCTTTTTCTGTACACACTTCTCCCAAGTGACCCATCTTCTCTCCTACTTAGCAAGACATCCAGGAAATGTAGTTTATTCTCCTGCTCCTCTTCACAAGTAAAGGTAAGCGAAGGGTGGATGTTGTTGAATTTAAGTAGCAACTCGTCTATGTTAACCTTCTCATCAGCTAAGATAAATGTATCATCGACATATCGGTAATACATATCCAACTCCTTGATGGTATCCTTCAATTTCCCGTTTTCAAGTTTTGCGAGAAAGAAGTCAGCTAATATTGGGCCTAATGGTGAACCCATAGCTATTCCATCTACTTGTCGATAGTATGAATTATTGAAGACGAAGTGAACATTCATTGTGCATTTAAGAAGTAATTCTTTGAGGCTACACAAGGGGATTCCTAAGTCTAATTGCCTATCGGTGATTTCTTGACAAATATAATCCACTGTTTCCAAAAGCGGTACGTTAGTGAATAGTGATGATACATCCATGGATAACATGCGTTTACACCTCACATTAGTCTCGGATATTTTAGAAATAAAGTCGAAAACATCACTAATTCTATGTTGCACAATTTCTCTGTGCAAAGGACCCAGGATCTTAACTAACCACTTCGCTGTTCCGTGAAATGGAGAGTTATACATATCTAAAACAGGGCGAAGAGGAAGACCCGGTTTGTGCACTTTTGGTAGACCGTAAAGACGTGGAGTATTGGTACCCGTAGGTTTCATGGACTCATACGTGGTTGATGATAATACTCCTATTTGGTTCAGTTTTTTGAGGGAGTCAGTCATTTGTTTCTCAGCTCTTACATTGAGGTCTTTGGAAACACCAAGCGATTGGAATTTAGTTTGATCACTCAAAATACCTTCCATTTTCTCAACATAATCGCTTTTGTCCAGTAAAACTATACCATCACCTTTATCCGGCTTGCTAATGATTAAACTTTCGTTACTTTATTATTATTATTACTATTATTAATATTATCATTACTACTATTATGACTAACTGCACAATTTATATTCACCATCTTGTTATTATCCTATAGACAAAACACCATGATTGGTTTATATTTGAGTTTTTATTTGTAAAGTTATATAGGTATATTAGAGTTAAGTCTGATGAGATCTAATTGAAAGCACAATATTGTTCGCTTAAATGTGTTTTTCTAAATATGGAGAATAATAATAATAATAATTATTATTGTATCCTTTAGTTCCTAGAGGAACATAGGGCTTCAGCTGCGCACCTCCATTGCCTTCGGTTTTCTGACAACTTTTTCACCCTGCTCCAGGTCTGTCCACATGCTTTCATCTCCTCCTCGCATGACCTCCTCCAAGTCACCCTTGGACGACCAACTCGCCGCCTCCCTTTCGGGTTCCATTCGAGGGCTTGTCTAGTGATGTCACTTGATGTTTTCCTCAGTGTATGGCCAATCCATCTCCATTTTTTCTGCCTATTTGTTTCACAATCGGTTCCTGATTGGTTCGCTCCCAGAGATCCCAGAGAATAATACATAAGGTGTATAGACATTGGAAAGGGGTACATAATTATAGGATTAGTAGGCGAATATAAAATGTTACATAACATGGTGTGAAATTTGATACGATAGAATTTAATATTGTAAAATCAAAAAAGATTAATAATTTTGGATTTAGAATGACAAGTGGGTCAAGTGGAAAATATTCAGAGTGAGAATAGTAATAATAACAATAATAATCGTAGTAATAAGAGAAAGGTACATAGAATAACTAAATAAACAAAATAAGTAAATAAATATCTATCCAAGTATTGGTTTGTAGGGATTTGGTTGATTGGTTACAGGATTTCATCATGAGCTGACATTGTTTAGAGAACCGTTGGAAAACCTGTAGGGAGTACTGGACAGCTGTTCCGTCCTAGTTTTGGGCTCTTCAGCAGTACGCATCCACCGGGTTCGAACCCAGGACCTTCTGGTATGTACAATCCCTACTCCTGCATTGGCTGTAAAAGGATAGACATTTGTTACATGATTTCATCATGAGCTGACATCGGTTAGAGGACCACTGGAAAACTACCTGAGAGTAATCGAAGACTGTTTCGTCCTAATTTGAGACTCTTCAGCAGTACTCACCCACCCACTGCAGGGGTTCGAAACCAGGATCTTCCGGTTACAAGGCCATCGAGCTGGTCGACCATTCAGCCATTGGGACCCGATCCAATGGCCCAACCAGTCCATCAATTCCAACTTCTGCCAACTCATGTTATGGCGCGATCACTAGCGAATGCCATCTGTGGCGAGTATTTGTCCTCACACCCGACCTGCTGCACCCTACTAGTCATGACTTCGCCCTCTAGAACTCCAGGTAACTAGCTACCTACCGGAATAGGTCCGGTCGCCAGTGAGCATCTCATCGATATTCAAGTGTTGGTTTGTAGGGATTTGACTGATTAATTACAGGATTACATCATGAGCTGACCTCCCAAGCTAGGACGAAACAGCTCTCCAGTATTCCAGTGGTTCTCTAACGAATGCCAGCTCATGATGAAATCCTGTAACCAATCAATCAACGAAATCCCTACAAACCAGTACTTGAATATTAATGTTTGTTATTTTATTTCGCTTAAATAACATGGAATTCATAAGATGAGTTAGATTGTAGTTGAAGAGAGTCTGTAGGTGTGATAATATGCATCAACATAATGCTGCACTACACACTGAATATCAGATAAATTAAGGAAAGGTTCCATACAAGAGGGCCACAGTATGGGTTAATGGTTGTCAACCTATTTCCTTTCCTGCACGCGCATTCACACACAGCTATGCTTGTTTTTAAACGAATTGTAATAGCTTCTGTTCAATATCTAGAGTTTAGTTTATCTAATATCCTGTTGGAATGATTGTCAGGTCAAAGTAGTAGAGCACAGAAACCTAGCAGCAAAATCTAGATTTACTGACCCTAATAATAAGATAAGAAATCTTGAGAATAGTCCAGCTATAACATTACAGCACATGCAATTATATACAACAGGATGGGATAAGATGACAGTTTTAAAATCTAATCTAATAGTAGGGTTTAGGGAGAGATTGATAACTAACTGAGGCTTTATTCATCGAATCAACTGAGGAGAATACGTGTAATAGGAATGATTCAACACCTGTCCATCAGGATATCTGAAATATTCTACTACCCCTAAGACCACAAATAGGAAAGGACAAAGAAAACTATAAAACTAAAGTTTCGAAGTCGTGTGATTATAACTGATGATATGATTATGAACAATGATGAATTGTGTTCGAAACTTTGTCATCCAGTAAATAATAATACTGTAACAACAGAACACAAGGGCCAGCCAGGCAACAGATCTTTTATTATGGAAATCAACACATATAGATTTTTTATGTACATCATTATAGATTATTGTAAGCAAACAAACAGTCTTCTGATTTGTTGTTTCTCACTGAAAGTTAATCTTTCATCTCTTTGTGGCTGTTTCTTGAAGTTCAGATTATCTCCTTGCTAATTTTACCCGCCTATGCAAACAAAGTGTGCCGTGATTGGTTGTTGAATCAGTCTTTGTTCTTGTTCTTTTCTCATGACCAATATTGGGGACTTAAACATTGACGTAAATTACTATCTACCAATTTTGGCTAGTAGCCAGCTCTCATCACAATACTATTTCACTCTGTTTGTATGTATGCCTGTGATATATCTAATAAACAAATTAATATGAAATTGTAATATATATATATATATATATATATATATATATATATATCAAAGGTCATTACTCTTATTCGCTTGTTTGTTTTCCCCTCTAGGATCAATACATATTCCTTCATGAATATTTTGCCTACATTTTAAATAAAGATGAATCCCAGTTGAAAAACAATTGAATAGCAAATCCCATGATCTGACACAGGAGTCAAACCGCAGTAGCAACAAGAACAACAACACCAACAAAAGAAACGTATTTCACAGTGTATACCCTGTAATATATAAAAACAGTTTGTGTCTACCGTGGAGTGGTTTCAGTTTGTAGAATATTTCATTCTAACATTGACAACATTGTCGAATCCAACATTGTCTACTAATCGATAAAAACATGATATTTCATTTATATAAATTTATATGTAAATATCTACACATATATTACATACACATACATACGCAAGCACGCACGCACGCACACACGCCCCTCCCCCTACACACACAGACATGCACACAAGCAGACAAAGTTTTCTTATTTCCTTATGTGACTTACAGTGTTGTGATGTTATCATCAAAGTGTAATGGGAAAAAAAATAATAAATATACAGAGCTCTAATTCTTGGCATAATCAACTTTTCATTATTGTGTTCCTTAATTAATTTTTATTGTTTATCATTCATTAAGAAAATCGAAACAAAGGTCAAAAGCAAAATAACAATTTATTTATTTATTTCGATAAAGAAAGGAAGATGAAATTTGCAGTATATAAAACGATATCATCGTTCTATTTCCCGGGTTCTCATCAACTGCATACAACTACCCGAAATTACAATGGTTATATATATATAATAGATGATAATAACATTTCCTGGAAATAAATGTAGACAATTATACATCTCATCCAACAGCTATACGACAATACTGCATGCCAAGTAATCCACAACGGGAAACTTACGGAAGCCTTCGAAGTGAGGACGGGAGTGCGACAAGGCTGTCTACTCTCACCAATGATCTTCCTGATTGCAATCGATTGGATAATGCGACAGACAACGGCAACAAAAGAGGGACTGACACAAAAGACTTGGAGGATCTGGATTTCGCCGATGATATATGTCTGATTTCCCACAAACTGGAAGATATGCCAGTGAAAAGCAACAAGTTGGCAGAAGAAGCATCAAAGATAGGACTTCAAGTGAACATAGATAAAACAGAGGTGATGAAGATTCCTAGCCAACAGCAACAACAACAACAGACGACAATCAGCATAAATGGGAAGAACCTGAAAGAAACAGCCTCCTTCACCTACCTGGGAAGCATCGTCTCAACTACAGGCGGAACTGACTAGGATATCAAAGCCAGAATCGGAAAATCAAGACAAGCTTTCATTGCTCTCAAATCTGTGTGGAGGTCAACAGCACTCAGCATCAAAAATAAGATCCGGATTTTCAACTCCAATGTGATGTCAGTGCTACTATACGGATCAGAGACTTGGCGAGTCATAAAGAGCATCCCCAACAAACTTCAGACCTTCATTAACAGTTGTCTTCGATCAATACTCAAGATCAGATGGCCGGCCAGAAAAGATCAGCAACAGGGATCTCTGGGAGCGAACCAATCAGGAACCGATTGTGAAACAAATAGGCAGGAAGAAATGGAGATGGATTCGCCATACGCTGAGGAAACCATCAAGTGACATCACTAGAGAAGCCATCGCTCGAGTGGAACCCGAAAGGGAGGCGGCGAGTCAGTCGTCCAAGGGTGACTTGGAGAAGGTCATGCGAGGAGGAGATGAAAGCATGTGGACAGACCTGGAGCGGGGTGAAAAAGTTGTCAGAAAACAGAAGGCAATGGAGGTGCGCAGCTGAATCCCTATTTTCCTCTAGGAACTAAAGGATACAATAATAATAATAAATGTAGAAAGAATAAAAAACGAAGGCATGATTGAAAATAACCCCGGACTGGGCAATATCTTCACTATAACAGCTTTTGTCCCCTAACGATATAAACATGGATTAGTGAGAACTTTGTACGACAGAGCCAGGAGGCTATGTTCACCAAACAAGGTTGAAGAAGAATTAAGTTTCATCAAGAAATGCCTAAGAGAAAATGGATACCCTAAGGGATTTATACAAAAGTATAGCAGGAAGAAAGATAAGAAAGAAAAACACCCAACTGTAGAAGAGAAAAAAGTGTCTATTTGTCTCCCACCCATTCAAAGGAGATACAGTGTCACAGAAGGCTGACAAAAGATTGAAAGGTGCAATAAAAAGAAGCTTCCCGGCAGCTAAACTCATAACATTATACAGCACCTCTTCTTCTTTGAGCCACTGAAAACTGGATAAATACCCTGCTGATGTCACCTGCAACTGAGTTTATGAATTCACGTGCACTTGTGGGAGCAAGTACATTGGAAGGGCGAAAAGAAGGGCTTCTATCCGGTGGTTTTCTGAACATATTCCAAGAAACCTGTGCCTGAAAGGAAGCAAGTATTCCCAGAGTGCAATTTCCAGACGTATTGTTGATACTGGTCATCTCGTAGACACTTTAAACTCCTTCAAAATATTTAACAGACAAAGGACAGCAAATGTACTGCGATTTACGAAATATACAGATTGGGTCATAGGAGTTATTAAGAAGACAATTGCAGCGAAGAAAATTTTCTTTTCGACGAAGTCATCAACCAGGCTGTACATTGATGCACTTATAATATAAATGGGTGGGAAAGTTCCAAAATAATTTCCAGTTAAAAGGGTCAAATTGATAAAAATTACAATTAGGAATTAAAATGTCATAATAAACAGACAGGGGGACGGATAAAACTCAAACAAAGTAGCACTATAATAACTAAGGAGATTGACATTGTGCAATTAGGGGTAAGAAATGTAGACAAAAATAGACAGGATAAAAAAACTAATGTGATGAATAATTGTTTATGCAGTCAGGGATTAAATTAACAGAAATAATAAAATGACAAGATAAACACGAAGTTCGGGTATGAAAATATGGTAGTGTAAACAGGGATTAAGAAAAACTTAAAAAATAACATGAATAAACAGGAGGTACTGCGATTTTCCGAAGTGATCACAATCAAACGATTCAAAACATACTTATGTATACAGAAGGAGAGTGTGATTAGCCTCTCACTCCATTGGAAACTGAATTTTGACTTTGATTACATTAATTATTTTATTTATTATGGATTCTACTAAATTGGAATTACTATTTGAGCGACAAATGGAATTGATGGAAATGCTCATCAACCAACAGACTGGTTCAACTTCACCTTCAAGCAATCCGAATCATACCATGCTACCATCTGTCGACGGAATTGTGAATATTATTTCACAGTTCAATTATAATCCAGATGCGAATGTCACTTTTGACACATGGTATCAACGATATGAGGATTTATTCACAGTTGATCTCGCCTCACAAGACGATGCTTGGAAGGTGCGAGTGTTATTACGTAAATTGGGTCCCGCAGAATATGAACGGTACTGCAACCCAATTTTACCCCAGAAACCACGTGACAAGTGTTTCGGTGATACAATAAAGTTGCTGCGTGAACATTTCGGAGACCACTCCTCATTATTCAGCATACGTTATCGTTGCCTCAAGCTGACAATGGATGAAAATGATTTTCTTACTCACGTTGGCACAGTCAACGGAGAATGTGAGAGATTTCGACTCAGGTCCTTAACAGATGATCAATTCAAAGCCTTGATTCTCATATGCAGTCTCCAATCTCCTCGTTTCACAGATATTCGAACTCGACTGCTCAATCAGCTAGAGCAAAATCCCAAGTTAACATTACATGACATAGCTGATGAATATCAACGGCTGATTAATTTGCAGAAAGACACACACCTGGTCGCATCAACAACTTCGAGAAGCTCTGATATTCATGCATTACGAAAGAGCAAAAATCTCTCATCATCCAGTCCTGACCCACCTACTTCTAATGTTCCGCGTAAATCTACACATACTCGTCCAACTTCACAAAATACTGCAAATAAGACCCCACCATCACCATGCTGGCATTGTGGCGCGTGGCACTTTGTAAAGTCCTGTCCATACAAAAATCATCGTTGTAGCAAGTGCAAAATCATCTGTCATAAAAATGGTTTTTGTCAGCCACGCAAACCCAGATATCAAAATCCAGCGAAAGCTCGACCAACTGTTGGTCCTAAATCTCCAAAAAGGTCGATGAGTCTACTCACGACCTGTATTTTTGGTACAAGTATGGAATTTTCAGCATGTGATATCGATAGCCCAAATTTTGCATGCTGACCATAGATACCAGGTGTGCGTCGGCAGGGGATCGAACCTCGGACCGTGTGCAAGGTCAGCGAGAGTCCTAACCACTGTACCACCGTCGCACTAATTCAGTGACCTCAACTCACTGAACAAATCTCAATCTTATAAACTCTAACCGCTTTTGTTTTTTGAGTTATTATGTGAACCTACAAGCTAAAATTGTTCTGTTAATTAATTTTTTTCTGTTTTCTGTCTTACCCGCCCCCCTCTTTTCAACTTTAAAATCGTATAAATTGATGATGAATACTTTAACTAAAAATTGTAATGCTTACATTTTGGATGCGTCAGTTTTATAGTATCTCTTCTCTACTACCACTCAAACATTAAAGTAGGTTATTATAATCTATATATAACCGTTGTAATTTCACGTAGGGTGTGCAGCTAATGAGAACCTGTGAAATAGAATGATGATGTCATTTTCTACTGCAAATTTCGTCTTCCTTTCTTTATCGAAATTGATCAAGGGAACCAAATGTATGAAATTTATTTATTTATTTATCTTTATTGTTGATTATATCTTAATTCCACACTGTATTTTTGATAGAAGGTATGGAATTTTCAGCACGTGATATAAGTAAGCCAAATTTTGCAGACCGACCCTTGATTATGGTCGGCGAGAAAGTCCTAACTGTTGTGCCACCGACGCATGAAACGAATAATAATGATAACATAAATGGGAGACAATATAAGGCATCTACAGTCATACCATATAAATTGGGAGGGGACATCTGAGGCCCTACGTAGGATTTTCATAAAGCAGGAGTGAGGATGATGGCATTCACACCTACAAAAACTCAATCAGGTAGAACAAGCTCTGTAGGCTGCATGACCCGGTGGACCTAATGAAACAAAATAATATGATAATTTACAAAATACCTTGCAATGACTATGATTGACGGTCAATTACATAGGTCAAACCAGTAGATTGTAGGTGGGTAGTCAGATTGTCGGAACTTAAGAATTTAGCGAAGGTTAAAAAGACTGATCCCACCAACGAAGATAAGTAATTTAGAAAAAAAGCTCAGCACTATATTGCAGTGAGTACATTAACACACAACCACACAATGGTGGTGTGTGTTGGAGAGGGTTAACATTCTAAACAGTAATCTAGGTAGGTGGAGAGCGAGAGAGGTTGATTACTGAATCCTTGTTCATCAAGTGAATCTACACCCAACACATGCAATAGGCATGACTCATCACTCATACCGGAAATATGGAAACTACTACTACTACTACCAATCAAGTCAAGCGATGAAAAATAATGACGGAATTATGTAAACGAAGTAGGGAAGTTTTATTGAGTAGTGT